GGGCTATTTTTTAAATAAGGTCCGTTTTTTAATAAGAAGAAAAATACTGTAAATATCATTACAATATATTTTTTTCCATATTCTACATACTTTTATCTACTTTTTTACATAATTTCCATTTTCGTTCAAACATTTGTCATACCGCTCAAAAATATTTTTAATTTTGACTTCAAAGAAATCTGCCGCCTGCCGCCGGAAGACATTAGGTCACTCCGCTTGTCTTGTATGGCACGGCGGAGTTTTCTGAAGGTCACAATAAGCATCAGAATTGATTGTTGTGCCCCTTGCATAAAATCCACTAACAAAGTCCCTTTCCTGTCCCAAAAGACAGTTACCATGGTCTTTCGTGCTGAAATCGAATAACAGATCCTATCTTACAGTCGGCGGGCGACTCAATTTTCTTAAACATTATAAACGTCTACAGCTCATCATACAGACAAACTATACGGCTGCAAATGGCATCTAAACACGCGCAAAGCATGCTGAAAGCAGATGCTCATGCATACTGCTGCAATCGCGCATCATTCTCACTCTCATTCACAAACGGACCTTATTTAAAAAATAGCCCTCGTATCAATGTCTATTATATACAAGTTATCATGTCAAAATTCGTTATTTAATCATTACCCCATCCTTTAATATTAAACAACAAAGACTGCAACCCACACACAGATGGAATTTTTTTCCTTTTATTTTTTACTTTTTTGGGTTCAGAAGGTCTCAAAACGTGGAGTTATGCAAAACACTCGAATAGTCAAAATTCTACATCTGTAAAATTCCATTTGTGAGAGTAAGGACAGAGAAAAATGAGACAAATCCTAGACCAGTCACAAATTTGGGACCTATCCTTCTCTGAAAGCACAAAAATATATAAATAAACATATAAAAGCAGTTTTCGTTTTTCACTTATTAAAGGACATTTTCATTTATATTACTTCCTATAGTGCTTATATATAAATGTATACACACAATATTTTATCGGTGTATGTTTTTTATAATACTGTACACATATATAACATTTTTTATATATATACAGGGTGTCCCAAAAGTCTGAGTACATGTAATGTCGCTAGATGATGGCAAGCTAAAATAAACAATGGGAGTATGTTATGATGGTAGCGAATCCATGGTGATCATAAAGTTGACCCCAAAAGGAAGGCATTTTCAAAGTTATTCAAAAAATATCTTTAAAACTGTGCATCCGAGATAAAAAAATGTCAGAAATAAAGTTGTAGGCCATACAAAAATTAGTAAGAATCTGCTTTTGCTAGATACTTAAACTTGAAAATAAAACGAAAAAATCTAGCAACGAGTTGCTTAACTTACCCCTCAACATTTGCTGTCACTATATGCTACCATATGTTATTAATTAATTTAAAAACTTTTTATTTTTTTAGCTACAGTATTATAAAAATGGTAAAAAAAAAAAACTTAATTTTGAGGGAAGAAATGGGTTTTATAGAAAACATTGTAAATGCTAACAAGTAAAATCGTCACTAAGTCCGATCCTACTGGAGATATGACACACGACCCCCTTTATCTCTCCACTCCCTCGACCTTTAATCACCAAACTTTAATAGCATCAATCTCCTTAATAAACACACTTCCTGCAAAATTTCAGAAATTTTCGACAAAAAGCACAGGAGTTATTAAGCTTCAAAGAGGGTGAACAAAATTACAAATATGTATACAAATATATATTACAAATATAAATTACAAATATGTATATGTATACAAATTGTAGCTCATTTTAAACATCACTGATGGTCCAAGTTGATTAACAATCAAATGTACTGCATAATGTTTAACTAAATATTTATAAATAATTGTGGAAATGAAATTTGTCGTAATACATTTTTTGGTTTTTGGTCATTAATATGTTTTATATATGTTTAACTTAACCGAAAATAGTGTAAAACTCCATTTCTGTTCCTGATTCGGCTGCAAAATTCGGTTTCGGGCAGACCTTTCTATCTGTGAAAAATGTAACAATACCAGATCCGATACCTGTGGTAAAGTATCGATATCGGACCAAAGTATCGAATACAAAAAGTACTCGCATCGAAGAAAAGTATCAATGCAGTATCGATATCGGCAGTATCGGGACGCCCCTACTCAGGAATGAGTTCCTCATATGCAGACAATAAAAGTAGTTTATATCAACACAGGTCCGGAAATGCTTGATTTCCGAGTTTCGAAGCTCTGTCTATGACACAACTATTTACATTGCCTAGCAAAGGTCTGTCTTGGTTTTTGAGTTATAAAGTGCATATCCGCTTGCTCATGATCGAGTACATGGTCAGAATGGAAAACCACTAGATACTCTCAGTACTTCGTGATGAAGGAGATAAGACATTCCTGTTTATAACTCAAACCAAACAGACCTTTGTAAGGTGATATGAACGATTGTCATATAGATCTTCAAAACTCGGAAACCAAGCACTTCTGAACTTGTGGTGATGTAACTATTTTTATTGTCTACGAAGGGGAAACTCATTTCTGAGGGTAAGCCGTACTTTTTTAAGACACTCTGCATATAATATATACAATTATTGGGCTGGGCTGCAATTTGAAAAAAATTGTAGACCTATAAATTACCTGTCGTCCGTCCGTCTTCTGTCCTTCTGTCTTTCCTTAATCTCGAGAACATAGTTACAGTAGATAGACAAAAACGGAGACCAGCTATAAATGGAAACCTTAGGGCAGGAGGCCCCGATTAACTACTTAATATATAATGTATATAAGATCTTTCGGTGTAAACCCAAATTCTCGTTATTTCAAAGTTTCCCCCGAAAGGTGTTAGATAGATGACTGGCACGACTCTATCGTTAAAAAAATTATTTAATAAACTTCATGTACAGGGGCAAGTCACTACTAATATGAAGTGGAGAGAATATATTTTAAATTAAATACATTAAAAATTGCAGCCCGGCATCGTCACAATAAATAATTTCAGGCTATTAGTTAAAATATATTTCAAAACAGCACGTTTATGTTAACTTCGAAAGATGAACGAATTTATTGTGACTTGAGGAATTTTTGGTTCTTGCAACTTGCGTGAAAATTGCTTATTTTATTATAAGCAAGTTAAGTTATTTTAAATTAATTTATATTATTTGTTAGATACGTAAATGTATAAACATAAAATTCTTGTTTAAATAAGATATAATTTATTGCTATTTCCAGTTACACGGAAACAGTATTTCTTCCTCGTTCGAACGAAATTATTTGAATTAATCAGCTGAACAAAATTAAATCTAGAGTAAACAAGAAATATTTCAATATCTGAACGTTTAATATTATAAACAATCTATTGCAAACAATCTAATATGAAAAAAAATCTATGATATTATTGAATATCATTCGGGATGGAGGCTTCCAGACAACGTGTTTGACCTACATACTATAACTATCATTCGAACCTGCTTTTTCGAATGTTTTCTTTAATTTAATTGCCGATGAATTTCTCCGACTATCCGACGTAATAAATATGTGAATTTTTAATAAATTAATTTTAAAAAACGATTATATTCCGATTCTATGTAAAAATTTTTAATCTTTGCGACAAAATTTTAAAAATATGACAGTTGTAGAGTGGTTATTTATGTTTAAAAATAAACAAATTGATTCTTGGCGCAAAATATTGCAATTAAAAAAATTTTTACTAAACACTTAGGAGTGAACGGATCAATCATTCGGGAATGCATTTCTCGGTAGTTTATTTAACCATTTGTTTAAGATTTTTCGAATTTCTGGACGACACCAAGAGATTTACATTGGCGCAAAGATTTTACGTAATAAGTCTAACGGAAATATCGTAGTTTATTATGGGTCACAGATAAATCCATGCTCGAAATTTTGATTTCTAGCCCAACCTACGCAACACAAAACTTTTTGACTCGAAGCCCAAATTGTTTTTTTCTCCCCGATTCGAGTTAACCAGGCTCCACTGTATTTAGTCTACGGAAGAATATTTTTCGAAGCTCAATAGTATGAGATTTCGATACAATTCACGACGTCTAAAAATATATTTACATATCTTCGTCATATTTTAGATGTTAAGCTATTATAAATAATTATACAACGGTAGGAAGACTAGAAAAAAAATAGAGAAGACAAATAGTGGACGATTCGAAAAAAACGGAGAGACTTCATTATATAGGCCTATATAAGTTGATTTCGTTATAGAAAGAAACTAAACAAAAGAAATCTTAAAATTTTATCAGTCGTGTTTTTTAATTGATAACCAAATTCGAATAATTCTACATTTATTTGTTATTTACAAAAATTGTTTTAGAATTACTTAAAAAAGGTTGTTTATAAGACTACATATAAAAAATTTTATTTTTAATTAATTTATTTTTAATTATAATTTTGTTTTTCAAACGATCTAAGAAATATTCTCAGAAGTATTTTGATCTCTCATTCTCTACATCTGTAAGAAGACACGATATATATCTAAGCATAGATTTAAGCCAAATTTCTGAATTCAATTCGAAATCGTACCTGAATATGAGTTGCAGCTTAATACCTTTATGGCTTCGGCCATATTGCATTATACACCCTAAAAATCTTTAATATAAATCAAACAATTTCTTATTAATAATAATTCAAATCACTTCAATTTCGAAAATTATTTATTGTAACCTAAGTGTTGTTCTTCGGCTTCATCTTATGTTTACTTGGGATCGCTGTACTTTATCAGCCTTCAAGAAAATTTCACTTGATTATAAATGATTAAATTGTGCTTAAAACAACTTTACAAAAGTGAATACACTTATTAAAAAAGAAGTAATGACTAAGTTTTAAATATAATAGAACCTCAGCTAATTATAAATTATATAAATACACTATTCTTATAATTTTTAATTAAGTAAATATACTATTTTTATAATTTATAAAACCTTCTCTGTAAATGTACCGAGAACGAAAATACTGTAGTGCTTTAAACCTACACTGTACTGAGGGAGTGGCTTTTTTAAAACTATGCCGTATAGGTATTAAGAATGCTTTTTCATGCCCATGGCGGGTTCTGCTGGACTCACAATGAGACTTGTAAGGGGCAGACTGCCCATGAAAAATAATTCTGAGATGACTGCGAAACATTGCAGCGAAAGGGGAGGAACCGCTATATAAGAAAAATCTCTAAAAGAATTTTAAAAAAAGTTTTAATATTTAATTTCAGTAGGAGACGAACCATTCATACTAAAAATCTTACGACAATAACACACATTTTTATTCTTAAAACTGTTGTGCGTAAATTATTAGTTATATAAATTTAATAGTCTAAACTAGGCTTTTTTCAACCTTTTTCCCTACTATCGCCCTCTTTTCGCTATTTTTCAAACCAATAACCTTGTACTATATCCACCTTGCAAACATATTAAATTCAAAGGATAATTTAGTTTATGTTGTTTATCTAATGTGGTCCTAAATACAATTTTGCTGCTAGATTTTTAATATTTGGATCTACAGTTTAAGCGGACGAAGGAATATAAATTTGGGATAGTTTATTAGAATATACACTTATGTACAGTATTTTTATTTAGAACTATTTGCACTTACTATCTTACTAAAATAGACTTTTAAATAAGGTGTATATATGTTACTGTAAAAGCCCGTATACTGGTAAATCCTAGGTTTTACTTGTAAATCTTCGGATTTACCAACATGAGTTGGTAAATGTAAGGATTTTTATAAAGTGAGATGATTTTCCGGACTTTTACCATTAGAATTTGGTACATGCTAGGTTTTACTAAAGACGATTAGTAAATGTTGGTTTTGGAAATAAAACTATGAGTTTTTTAATAATCACTTATTGCAACTATTATAAACTTACTAAGTCCTATCTATTAATAACTAGTGAAACAGTTTAAAAATACTTTTTTAACGTAACAAAAATGAAATTATCTTGTAAAAAATAATATAATAAGCTACCCGGCTAAGCTAATCAGTAATCACAGTATTTTTTCTAATCATTTGGTATTCATTGTTCATTTAATAAAAGTAAAAACGGATTTTACTTGTTACAACATGGAGAGCTATCATGGCATTTAGAATTATAAAGTAATCCTGATGACTTGCAAGCGCACTTCTTCGTTAGGCATTTTTGTAAGCAGTTGCACTTCTTGAAACCTTGTCCTCTGGTCAAAGAAAATTTTGCGACAACTTCTCGAAGACTCACTTCTTTACCTTTAATTTAACCCCTTCTGACTCATTTTCAACAATGCTTTCTTCATTGTCCTGTTCGATTGCATTTTCGACGTCATTATTTTGTTCCATATTGTCATGCGAATGCAACAACTTCTCTAAATCTTCTTCAAATCTTATAACTCTAATCATATTACTATGGATTGCTGAAGTTGCAAGGCCCATTTTCATTGGACAACCAAACATTGCTTCGTAGGGGGAACATTTGTTTCCCTCGTGATATGCTCTATTTTTCATTGCCTGAATGAATCTTAAACCCTCTGACCACTTTGATAACTGATTGGTTTCCATCCACGTACTCAACATATTTTCTATGTCTTGATTAGCACGTTCCACTGATCCTTGACTTTGGCTATGTCTTGCCTTTCCATGTACGATTTTTACATCCGGCCACATGGAGCATAAACTCTCAATAACTTGGTTAGAGAATTCTCG